AATGGCTGAAAAATCATAAATACAACCACTAGTAATATGATTTAAAGGTTTATCACTTTTGAACAATAGGTGGCACTGTTACAAATTGATGTGGTGTGTTCAGGAACACACAAAGTCTGGTGTGAATATGCCAAAGATTTGCAGAGATGCGGCCTCAGATGCAGTTTGGCATCATGCCAACAAATTTGTCGACACTAAATGAAATCCATAAGGTGAATTTCACCGCTAGGTGGCACGGCCCTGAAACTTTTTGAGTACCTCCAGCGCATGGAGCCAATGACACATGCCGAGTTTTCTGATGATACGTTGATGTGTTAGTAAAATATGCCAATTTATGACAAAAATCTAAATTGGTTATTGTTTGACTCGGTATTCTGCACCAAATCTAAAGAGACCAATATTGTGATTTTTGGCCAAACCATTTAGAACAGTGGTGTCCAAACTCGGTCTTGGAGGGCCGGTGTCCTGAAGAGTTTAGCTCCAACCCCAAGTATAATAGTAGGCATACTAGAAACTTAAAGGCAGGTGTGTTGAGGCAAGTTGGAGCTAAACTCTGCAGGACACCGGCCCTCCACGACCGAGTTTGGACACCCCTGATTTAAAAGTTATAAGCAAAAAGCCATTTTTCATATATCCTGACCACTAGGTGGTGCTGCGCTGAAACTGTGCATGTACCCTCAGGCCATGGTTGTTATAACACACACCAAGTTTGGTTTGAACATGCTAAAGCTTTGCAGAGATATAGCCTCAGGTCCATTTTGGTGTGTTCTTCGTAGAATTTGTTCGCGTGTTATTCGAGAACGATTTGACTCAACTTGAATTCCATATCTTTTTGTCAGCATGGTCTAAAGATGGTCTGAGCCAATTTTGGTGAAACTCAGACAAACCGTCTAGGACGAGTTCAAAAATAATTCAGTATTGTGAAAAATCTCGACTTGTAGCAATTAAAATTTTGGTATGCATTCAGCTCGACATGAGCCAAAGTATCAGATGAAAAAGATAATTTTGGTTCTAAACTTTATGGTTAAAAAGTAATTAGCATAAACATGAGTGCAAATTTGAACTGTTGGTGGCGCTAGAGGGTTTGAGTTAGAGACTCCAAACTTGCTATGATTAATGTTGAGTTAAGGTTAAAGTTGTGTGCCAAATTTCATAACTTTCCTGCAAGAGATTCTATGGGCTGCCATAGACCCAAGAGCGGAAGAAGAAGAAAACAAACGGATACAACAGATACCTACAATAAAATAAAATACACACTAATGTTTAAACAAAAGATACATTTGATCAAAACCACAAACTATTTCCTTGTATTTTTTTTTTTAAACTTGCCAGCCACCGTCAACATTTTTAATCATTTGCACAAAAATTTCACATCCCCCAGAATACCTTGTTGTACGAATATCTGAACATGCAATATGTCAAAAGAAAGAACAGAGCCTCTGCTTTTAAACAAACAAACTGTTTTATTCTAGCTTCATGCATTCTTTTTTATCAACACTTAGATGTGGCTAAGTTTCATAAAAATGCAACATTTTGAACAAAAAGCTGAGAAAGTCATGTTTTTGTCAAAAACTACATCCGGATGGGACTCAGAAAGGTAATAAAAATTTCCTCCCATCAACACCACCAAAGCCTCACAGTCCTAAACCACATCCTGGGTCAACATTTCATTCGGCAACGTTAGGCAGTTTTGATTTATATGCCGTTTAGTGTTTGATGATTGCATTTCTTTTTCTTTTGTTTGTTCTTAAATGATTTAAAAACAGTTTTTACATTCTTTTGAATGTCTGTCACTAATGTGTATGAGATGTGCAACGTAATTAACCTTGCCTAATTCATTTCATGCTAGTCCACAATCCAACATGAACAAAAAACATCCCTTCAAACATTGTGGTATTGCAAAGCCATATAAGTTTAT